GCACCTTCTGCTTCCAGGTAGCAGACGTATGTGACAGGCTGCCTGGAGGGTCTGGGAGGACTAATTAGACTGCTTTTCTGGCTCCAAGTTTTACAAGCTTCTGAGGAGCCAGTCTAGGAGCAGTTGTCACAGAAGGAAGATTCTGAGAGCTGAGCTGGGAATGGGGGGCACAACTTGGGCAGGAGGGCATGCCTTTGGGTGGGGTCAGGGTTTAAGGGGCTCAGTGCAGAGATGGGGTGGGGCATCACAGTTCTAGAACTAGGTGGTTCTAGAGAGATGTGCCAGGGAGAGCCAGGGCAGGGAAAATTCTGGAAGAGACCAGTTGAGCAGAGCTTCAGTGGGACACATGAGCCCTTGGCCAGACCTGAGACCAGGAGAGCGACATGGGCTGGATAAACACAGGCCCCAGCGCTCAGGGACATCCACAGCCCCAAAGGCTATCCTGATTCCAAAGCCAAGTCCAGGTACCCAGCAGGAGAATGGAGCTGGACCAGGCCGACGTCAGGATGCGAGGCAGAGTGATACTGCTGGTGTGAGCCTTGGCTCCTGTGGGCCAGCCCCCACAGGAGGGGGGCTCCTGGCTACCCACGGAAGGTGCCCAAGTCCCACTTGCCTGAAGGAGAAGCTTAGAGCCAAGAAAGGGAAGCTGCTGTAGAACAGGGCTTCCTTTCCTGCCCAGGTTCCCTACCCAGGTGCTCAGATTTCTTATACGGTAGAATGGGGGTCGGGAGATGCATTCCTGCAGCCAGAAAGCACTCCCAGGCAGGTGGGACTCAAGGTGGCCTCACCTGAAGTGAAAGCTCTCCTTGGCTTTGCTCTATAAAGAGGTTCTTGGGAGGGGCGCCTGGGTGGCTCAGTGGGTTAAGCCGCTGCCTTCGGCTCGGGTCATGATCTCGGAGTCCTGGGATCGGGCCCCGCATCGGACTCTCTGCTCAGCAGGGAGCCTGCTTCCTCCTCTCTCTCTGCCTGCCTCTCTGCCTGCTTGTGATCTATCAAATAAATAAATAAAATCTTTAAAAAAAAAAAAAAAAGAGGTTCTTGGGAGACTGTTTGCACACAGCGGCTCCCAGCCCCAAGAGGGGCTGGCAGGAAAGCCTCCTAATGCCTTTGTCCCCGGCTCTCTGGCCTGGCTCCAGTCCTATCTTGAGCACAGGCTGGGCCCTCCTCGGTAGGGAGTCAGGGGCAAAGCCTCTAGAAGACTTCCCCAGTGTGGCCAAGCCAGTGAGCCTAGGTTGGCTGGGCCTCCTGGCTGGGGTGGGCAGGTGCACGTCAGGCAACGGGACAAGGCCCCACGCCAGGGCCCGGTGCCCACAGGAAGTGGAACAGCACCCTGGGCCCCTGGGCCGCCTCCGGCCTGCCACTGCTGTCTTGGCCAGGGGGGACCCTCCTCAGCAGCCCGGGACGGGTGGGGTGGAGCGGGGGTGCTCAGTGAGAAGCCCTGGGGGGATTTCTGGCCCCCTTAAATCGCCACACACCAATTAAGGCAGGAGCCATCAGGGGCCCATCTTGAGCACATCATCTAGGAAAATGAGGTTAATGACAGTGAGCCAGGACAACAGGGCCAGTGTGAGTCACCGCGCTCTCGCTTGCTCAGCGGGCTGGGTTTCCGGGATTCCGGGTCATCACAACACCCACCCTGTAGCCCGTGCTGGCCCTAGTGGTGGCCTTGGTGACAGCCAAGGAGGTGGCTTTAAGAGTGCTTGCCTTTGGGGCGGGGGAGGGGCTGCCTTGAGCCCCTCTGCCCGCCAGCTGGCCCAAATCCCTCTTGCACCCCTGGGGATGTCCAGGGCAGGGCCCACTGCATCAAAAGATTGTAACTCTCGCCACCCAGAGTTCCAGAGCTAGAGGAACTCTGGGACCATCAGCACATGGACACATGGACCAACTTCCGGGGAAGGGGCCTGACCTGCTGGAAGTGACAGCACCCCAGGCTGGTGGAGGGGGATCACACAAGGACCACAGTCATGTTCTGTGCCAGTCACTGCTCTGAGCACTTCACGTGCACCTTCCAGATGGAGATGCCACAAGCTTAGGGAACTCGTTGGAGATCTCAGAGCCAGCAGGTGTCAGAGTCAGCATCTGGACTCGGGCAGTGGGTTATGGGGCCGGGACGCCCAGAGCGAACCCCTGGCTCCACTGCTCCGCCCTCTTGGTAGACAGACACACAGCCCACCAGCACGGAGAGGTCGGGAATCTGTGGCAAGCCGGTCCTGGGACAGATGGACAAGGACGGTGCTGGGTAGGAAGATGGCAGAGTTTCCAGGTCAGCCTGGCCGGTCTGTCAGGACCTCATGGGGAGCAGACACTCGGGAATGAAAGGGGACTGGGCTTGCCACGGGTGACAACAGGACTCAGCCGCTGCTCACTGGCTTGGTCGTCCAGCTGGCCCAAGGGACCTCCCCCAGGGTCTCCGGCAGAAGTACAGGTTCATCCTGGAACCCCAAGAATCTGGCAAACGTAGGTGGGGGGATCACAATTTAAATCACCAAACAGGGGGCTCCTGGGTGGCTCAGTGGGTTAAAGCCTCTGCCTTCGGCTCAGGTCATGGTCCCAGGGTCCTGGGATCAAGCGCCGCATCGGGCTCTCTGCTCGGCAGGGAGCCTGCTTCCCCACTCTCTCCGCCTGCATCTCTGCCTACTTGTGATCTCTATCTGTCAAAAAAATGAATTAAAAAAATCTTTAAAAAAAATAAATAAAAAATAAATCACCAATCAGGGGCACCTGGGTGGCTCAATGAGTTAAGAGTCTGCCTCTGGGGCCTGGGATCGATCCCTACATCGGGCTCCCTGCTCAATGGGGAGTCTGCTTCTCCCTCTCCATCTGCCTCCCTGCCAACTTGTGTTCTCGCTCTCTCAAAATAAAATCTTAAAAAAAAAAAAAACAAAAAACACCAATCACCGACACCTGTTCTTTTAGTTCACATTAGGAAAATTGGGCCACGAGAGGAGGGGGTGGTGGGAATTACCACTGGGATATACCTAACAAAACCCCCTAACCTCACCTCACCCTTCTAGAAAACAGACATAGAGAGAGAGAGAGAGAGAGAGAGAGAGAGATATGCAATTTGGTTTTTCTGGAGCTCGGTTATCAAAATCCACAATCAGGAGAGATGGTGACTGAGCAGAGGCATTTGCATTTCCAGAAGGCTGCTTTTGAGCTTGGCAGCTCCAGCGGGAGGACTGGTAGGAGCCCCTACTACAGGGGAGCTGCTGGCGAGGCCTGGCAGGGAGACACCATCACAAGAAAGGCCCTGTCCCGTGGCCCCCAACCTTGCCAAGCTGCCTCAAGCCCACCCGGGCCCCATACTCCTCTCTTGCTTGTGAGGTCCCCACAGCCGACCAGCCCAGTGTTGCCCAAGTCAGGGTCCTGTAGTACCTTCATGGGGCAGGGGAGTGGGAGGTCAGAGCACCTTAGAGTCCTCTGTCCCCTTTCTCTTAGGGGCAATCTGGGCCCCTAGATCCTCACTCAGAGCAGTGAGGTCCCAAGTCAGGCCCCACGGGATCAAGAAAAGGAACTCTGGGCAAGAACTTGGCCCCTTCATAGCTTTGGCCTGTGCATCACATGCTGACCCTCGGGCTTGGAGGAGGTGGGTCTCTGTGGTGATTCAAAGACAAGCGCTGCTCTCCGAGAACCATCTTGCCCCCCATTCTGAGTCTGGCTGGTGGCTGCATCCAGGCGGGTGTGTGTGTGCAGGAAGCCCGATAGGAGGGCCCTGCCTCTCAGATGGCCTGTGGCTATCTCTGGGAGAGCCCATGGTGGGGCTTCCAGGGACCCAGACACCATTGCCCCCAGGCCATTTCCCAAATCCCTGACAGGATCTCAATCCACATTTTCTTCACAGAGAAACTCACAGCTCAATCCTGGAGTAAACTGAAGGCAGGGAGATGGTAACCCGGCCTGGCCCGAGCAAGAACGGCCACACGCTGCCTGGAGACGTGGTTTCTGTCCTGCAGTCCCCAGTGAGGGGTACCATCTGTGTCCCTGCAGATGACCTCCCCCTGGACTGGTGGCTCAGATCACCAGAGCCCCAACGCTGGGGTCTCCAGCTTCGCATCTGGGAGCTCCCACAGGTCCAGCATGGGAAGGGATGACCAGACCTTCCCCACAAGGGTGTCCTGAGCAAGCTCCCTTAGCGTTGCCCAGACTCCCTAAGAGCCTTCATGCAGGGGGAGCTCCTGACCTCCTGAGCAATCTGAGCGCCTTACCTGCCAATTCAGACACGCAGGCCTGCCTGGCAGCCTCTTCCCCACTCGCAGAGCTCCGAGGGAGGGGTCTACCTCCTAAGCCCCTGGAGGGGTACTTACCAGCGCTGCCTAAAACAAGAACGTGAGGCTCAGAGAGGTTATGGGACCATGTCAAGGCTACACCGCTGGCTGAAGCCTGACCCTGGACTCCTCCAGCTGGTGGGGGAGGCAGTTTCCCCATTCTTGCCGCTCATCCGGGCTCCACGGAGGCCGCCTCCATGTCGGCCCCAACTCCCAGCCTTCAGGCTCTGCTCCCACCTGGAAGCTGCAGGGGCTGGGAAGCTCATTAGCTGCGTGGTACCAACAGCTCCTGAGATCTAACGTGGCCCCCCCGGCCCCCCAGGGCACAGCAGGTATGTTGAAGGATAAATACCTCCCTGGCTGGCTGGGCCCCAAGGAGCCAAATGCCCGAGACAAGGACGGCACCCAGACATGTGGAGGGCACCCGCCCGGCTCTCCCTGTGCAGTGCACGGGAAGACGCCTGGGGGAACCCTCCGGAGTAAGTGGAAATGCAGCTGCTTGAGTCCTCCAGGACCCAATTGACAAAACCGGCTGAGGCCAGCCAGAGGGAGGTGAATGCTGGGCTGGGGCTCCAGCTGTCCTGGCTCCCCCAGTTCCCTGAGCAGATGCAGATGAGAGTGTCCCGAGTGCCCAAGGTGACCTGGCAAGGGCCCTCCGAAGCCACTGCTTTCATTCTCCCTTTAGGGGCCCTGAGGAGTGGGAGGGACACTGATGAGGTCTCACTCAGAACATGCCACTTTTATGACAAGCTCAATAAAGTCCATTTTAATTTCAGATTCCTTCACCCACAGGCGTACAGAGGAGGAAGCCACTGGGCCCCAGTGAACACGTGTGGGGCAGAAATCCAGGCCACAGTGAAGCCACCGCCGCCCCACCGCATGCTTGTTCCTGGACTAACCTGACTCAGATGGCCCCCATGGAGCCTTTTGTCATATTTAGAGGAAACTCCTGGCTGGCCCATCCAATGGGCAGTCAGTCCACTCCTAAGCTGTCATGGGTGCGAAGAGCCAGGCATTCAGCAGAGAGGGCGACAAAACCCCATAAGGTGGCCTGGGGGCGACCTCTTCTGGGGGGGAGGGTGTGTTGTGATCTTCAGGCCCATTAGGACTCCGAGGTAGCAAACATTTTCAAGTGACTCCTTCCCATTAAACCAAATGCAGTCCTCTGTGTCTGTGCGGGCATTGCCCAGAGGGGCCTTCCGCTGGCAGGTGGCAAGCCTCCGGGGGCAGAGAGTTGGTAGGGGACAGAAGTGCCTAACCTCGGGGGCTCGGGGACGGAGCTGAATCCCCTTCGTTTATTGACCCAAGTCCCCCAGTACAAATCCCTGGCCTGCCATCCCACCCCCCCCGCAAATCGAGCGAGCTCTTGATCCTGGCTCCCCTGATCACGGTGGTGTTCTCTGCATGATTAGCTGCTGGTTCTCCAAGCACTGCTTCAGCCTGTCTTCCGTCAGCGTCAGCCGCTGCTCCAGGATGGAGACCGTCTGTAAGACAAATGGCACAGTCAGGCCTCAGAGGACAGAGGGGCTATAGGGCTGCCCTGGGGATCCCCTCAACCAGTCCTGTTCGGCTGCCCAGCCTGTCGTCCTGCCAGGTCCCTGTCTCCAATGGCTTCTAGGGACAGTTCTGGCCTTTGTGTCTCCTCCTGGTTCTGCATGGCTGTCCTCTGATGTCTGCAGGCCAAGGGGAGGACACAGGGAAGGGAGGCAGCGGGCCCCACAGCCTTGGTCATTCCCCAAGACAACCAAGGGTCAGGATCCCCAGCCCCGGAAGTCTGGCCTTTAGATGGGAGTCCAGAGCAGAACCACTTCCTCATTTGGACCAGGTTTCTGTCCACAATCAACCAGAGATCATCACCCATCTCCATTCCAAAGGTAAGAAAACAACACCCCCAAATGAAGGCACCCCATCTGGGTCCTGCCCACGTCTTAGGCCCTTCAGTTCCACACCTGGAGGGGCTTTCCAGGCTGGGAGGTGAGTGACTGAGCAACTCTGAGCCTAGGAGGGCCTCTGCCTGTCTGAGTCCAATGAGGACCACTGCTCCTGTAGGTCGTCTGAGACACAGGCCCTAACTCCATCTCTGAGCCCCTTTTCTCCTCTGTAATGGAAGGACAATGCCAAGGTCACAGGAATCCCGGAGCCTAGGAGGTGACTCAAGATGGTGGCCAGCACTTCTTAGCTTGACCCATGCTGGCAACGCTTGTCATCATGTTGGCTTCCGGAGGCTGCGCCTGTGGCTCCCTGTCCTCTCCTGCCCACCCAGCATAGCTGGCCTGTGGACCTAGCCATCTGGCTTGCCAAACGCCCCTAGTCCCACGTGCTGGGGAGACATGTGCCTCATGGGCCGGGGCCAGTCTTACAGACATGGCTGCTGGACAAGGCTGTAAAAAACGTGCCCACCTTCTCTGGCTTGGGACAGAGTGCTGGCAGAGGGGCAGTGCTGTCTGGGAGCCCGTGTGCTCCCCACAGAGCAGCTGGCTCACTGCCCTCAAGGACTCCTGCCCAGGGCCTGCCCACCAGTCACACAGCCAAGCCCAGCCCTAGCCAGGCTGGCCATGATGGCTGAGTTCTCCTTCACCTCCTCCCCGAGGGCTGGGTGAGTGCCTGTGTAGTGCCAGGCCTGCACCAGGCCCCGGGTGAATCCGCCATAAGCGAGGCAGGCTTGGTCCCTGTGCTGTGCAGCTAGCTGACAGCCAGCAGAAAGGGGTCAGGTTAAGAAACAATACTTTCTATTAATTTTGCCCATTTGTCTATGGGCTTTCCCAAGAGGTTCTGCCACCTTCCCTGAGGCTCCAAAGAGACTCTGGGCCTTGGTCCAATGAAAAGGAAACTTTCCTTTCATACATTTAAAAAACCATTGAAACATTTTGGGAAGGAGTTTACCCTCTCGGGCTGCTATAAATTCTCGCAGCATCCCGCACGGATGTCGGCTGCTCACAGAGGCTGCTCCTCAGGGCGGCTGGCCGTTCCTGAGGGAACTGACCTGGGCTGCAGGGGTTCTGAACCCGGGGGTACAGGCCTGAGCCTGAAAAGGAGCATTGCACCCCAAGAGGCAGAGCCGGGCTGAAGGGAACAGTCACACTCCCCCTGTGCTGGCCAGAAGCCGCTGAGGGGTCTGTACCTCGTAAAAGGGGTGGCGGAAACAGCCCCTGGCTGGCCCAGAGCAGCATTCCTGGAAGTTTCCACTGGCTGCTGTGAAACGCGCGCTGAGCCAAGCTCCAAAATCCTTCCCCATCCAGACTTTTTCCGATGCCCCTGGACTCCAGGTCATAGTGGGGGAGCCAGCCTGCTCTTCCTCCGTGACCACCCCCTCCCCGCCCTTTTAAACTTTCCACAGGGACATAATCCGCAAATGTGGAGGCAGTGGGTGCGGGGCGAGTGTCAAAACCGGGGGTGCCACGCATTTCACGAGGCCTTCACTTAGTTCCACGGGGGGCCCATGCTTCTGCTCGGTAGAAATATGGCCATTTGTTCATATTATACTTCTTTAAACATAACTACACACCCATCTCTCCCTTGCAGCCCCTAGAAGGAGGGTGCCGGCTGGTTATGGGCCCTCCCCTGGGGAGCTTTGAGGACGTGCTTTGTGGCCTGTTGTAGACAGAAAGGCTTCATGTCCACGACTCCTCAAAATCTGCAGCTCCCCTCCTCCCTGCCTTTCTCCCACCTCTCCCCTTTTCCAGCTGCGACCGACTCTGGAAGAGTCATCATCTCTGTTTGGTCTCTACTTCTAGCGCCCCCCGGCTCTGCCCAGATGCTGAGTGATAGTCACCATCCGGGGAGGAGGTCCACCAGGCTCTTCACACTCACATTTGATCCCACCTGACGCCCGTCTGAGCCGGAAGGATGGGCCAGGGAGAGGAGGACGATTTTTGGATTATCTGTATGTTAGAATGCTGTCCGGTGTTCTCTGCTCCACGAGTTTTCCTTAATAATCCTACTCTAATAAAGCATGGGGTGTCGTTTTCATGGAAAATGGTGGCTCTCAAGGTCAAGTGAAACCTAGAAATCCCAATGCCTGATTTTGCTGATGTGCCTTCCCTCCGCCACGGAAAAAGATCTCCCCTGAGACCGAATGGGTGACTTTGGGGCACTCAAGGAACAGAGGTCAAACATGCTCAGGGTTGGCGGTATAGACAGCAAGAGGGCAGGTGGGCCATCTGCAGGGACTCAGCCCAGGCCACTATGGTGCCACCAAGCCTCCCAGCTGCTGGGGCCTCTGGCGGAAGGGGAAAACACTGGGGACAGCACATGGGTGGGCAAGGGCGTCCCCAGCAAGGACTGGTTCCAGGCCGTACTGCATGGTCTTGCTCACAGGTCAGGCATACCACAAGCCTCAGTAAATACGTGCTGCCTCAGCATTCAGAAGGCAGAGGCTGTGGTCCATTCTTCCAGCTGCCCAGGGCCATGCCAAGCAGGCTGCTCACCCTGCCTTGCACTCTGGGTCCTGCCACACGGTGCCCAGAGATGAGGCCCACCCGCTCCAGAGGGTGGGGAGGCGCACTACTGAAGCAAACAGCCCCACAGTCTTCCAGACACCGTCACCCCTGCCCCCAACGCACCCTCTCACCCTCCTTCCACTGGGGGCAAATGAGGGCTGGCCTCGCAAGCAGCCCCGGGACCCACAGGCCCCTCCCCTTTCTCTGTGCAGAGGAGCCGTGGCAGAGGTCTGGTCCCAGCCTCTCCCCCTTATAAGTCCCCTAGCTTGTTAAGTCCCCAAGGAGGTCTGGTGGCAGATGCCAATGAGGGAAGCAGCCCTGACTGACCAGCTGTCTGGAGGCCTCTGCCCTTGCAGCAGGGCAAAGGGAAAGTGGAGAAGAGGCTGAGGAGGCCAGGGCTCTGGCTGCCGGGCAGACCTGTCTGGGCAGGTGACCCATCTCCTGAGGCCTCCTGCATGCTGGGGTCTAAACGCCTTCGGAAAGGTCCCTCCTGTCTGTGGACTGTGGAGAAACCAGGCAACTCAGTCCCTCTCCCCGGGCCTTGTGCCATCTGGGCAGCTCACTCGAGTCCCTGCTGTAAATGGAGTGAGGGGTCCAGACCTGAAGGGAGAATGGTGGGAAGACCCAGGACAGGCTCAGGGGAGCCGGGGGGTGGGGGGGTGGCGGTCCTCTCATGATTTCTGACACACTCGGCTCCAGGGGCCGCTCTTGGCAGCTGCCGTTCACGGAGAGCTCATGATATGCCAAGCACTCCTCAAAAACCCTGCGGGGTGGGAGGCTTCATCATCCCCATTTTTCACATGAGGAAACCAAGGCACGCGGCTATTAAGCGCTTGCCTGAAGTCACACAGCTTATGAATGACAAGCCAGGGCCGTGAACTAAGGGGGCCCAGCTTCAGAGTTTGGGCTAAAGCACCGTGAGCTGCACCTTCGCTCTGTTCCTGTGGTGAACGAATAAGGTGAGGCCTGGCCTTCCTCCTCCCCCTGCTCCAGCCATGCCTGAAGGGTACCAGCCATGTAACCCCAGGAGGCCCGTGTGTCCCCCCACCCAAAGCCCAAACTCAGGCAGTCTAAGGAGATCTTCGTGCAGCTCTGTCCTTATCCATCAGGACACCTCTGTCCTGTCCAGGTCACCCAGCCCAGTGGCTCCAGATTAAATGGGAACGAACAACCCCCCCAGCATCACCCAGCAGCTTCCTCACACCATCAGGCCACCCTCAGAGGTGGCTCCCAGGCCTCAGATGCCCCCAAACCCCACAAAGCACTCTCTCACCTGACTGGATATTTAGGTTTGGAATTATCACAAAGTCACAATTTTGGCTACAAAAAAGCAATGATATATGGACAAAAGGGACATTATCAACAAGAACCTTTTAATAGATACGTGATGAGAAACCACCCGAAAACTTGAATTTTAGACGCTTTCTTTCACTGGGGGCCATGTCACTCAGCATAAGTGATCAATTCCCAAACACGCCATGGAACTCACCCCATTCCCTGCTCATGCCCCACCCCTCACAACACGGGGCTTGACTACTCTCTCCCTGAACCACAGTGACAGGAAGCAGAATTCAGACCCCACTGGGGCGCCTGGGTGGCTCAGTGGTTTAAGCCTCTGCCTTTGGCTCAGGTCTCATGATCTCAGGGTCCTGGGATCGAGCCCTGCATCAGGCTCTCTGCTCAGCCTGCCTGTCTACTTGTGATCTCTCTGTCAAATAAATAAATTAAAAAAAACCAAACAAACATTCAAACCCCACGCCTGGACACCGTCACCCCTCATCTAACACCCTCTCCTTCCAAGGTCACAGCCTTCACCTGCCAGCTACAGGGGAGCTTCACTGGGGGGGCAAGGTCACAGGAGACCCAGAATTTTCATTCTCAAAGTCACACCTGGTCAGCGGGTCACCTTGGAGGGCTTGTTTCTGAAGCACTTTCTGCTGCCGCTGTCACTGGCGATTTCCAGGATGCCACAGCCCTGGTCACGGGAAATAGTGCCCTTAGGAACATTCCTGATTGCTGTTGAAAGTATTCTGTTGTTTCTTTAG